TACTTTGCGCTGGCCCTCATTCTCCACCGCCTCGCCTTCCCGCTGCCTCTCCCCACCCTGCTGCCTCTCCCCACCCTGCTGCCGCCTACTCCCTGGTCATGCTGCCTCTCCCTGCTGCCTCACCGGCTCCGCGAAGATTCTGCAGCTGCCTCTCATCTCCCCCCTCTGATTCTTCAGGCCCTCTCGGAGCTGACGACGTTCCTGCGCGCCTTCGCGTTCGCGGCGCCCTCCGAGGCGGTGCGGCGCGAGGAGGCGTGGCGGCTGTGGGACCCGAACGGCAACGGCTACCTCTCGCTCGCCGAGGTCGACTTGGGCGTCAAGATGACGCTGCAGTCCTTCCTCAAGGACGCGGGCGCGGGGGAGGCGGTGTGGCGCCGCTTCCGGCCGTCCTTCATCCGCGCCTTCAACGACGCCAAGGACGCGGCGGCGGCCGCCTCGTCGCTGTCGGACGACTACGTGACCAAGGGCGAGTTCCGGCTGCTGCTGTCCTACCTCGGCTACTACGCGACGTGGTTCGAGGTGTTTGCGATGGTGGACGGATGCTCGGACGGCACCACGGCGACCGACGACCGCCGCATCTCGCGCGAGGAGTGGGAGGAGGGCATCGAGAAGGTGGTGGCGGCGGGGCTGTCGTGGGCGCCGTACGTGGCGCTGCGCTCGGCGACCTCGGCCAGCTTCGACGAGATGGACTCGAACGGCGGCGGCTACGTGCTGCTGATCGAGTTTTGCGCGTGGCTCAAGGCGGCCGAGGTGGAGGCGGCGACGCCCGCCGGCCTCGCCCTCGCCGCGGGCGACGAGCAGCTCGCCGCGCCCCCCGCCGCGCCTGCCCCGAAGCCGGCGGCCAAGGAGGCGAAGCCAATTTCGACCATCTCGCCTGCGGGGACTGCCCAGGCGCGACGGCCGTCTAGTTGCGAGCGGTAGTTTGCGCTGGCCCTCATTCTCCACCGCCTCGCCTTCCCGCTGCCTCTCCCCACCCTGCTGCCTCTCCCCACCCTGCTGCCGCCTACTCCCTGGTCATGCTGCCTCTCCCTGCTGCCTCACCGGCTCCGCGAAGATTCTGCAGCTGCCTCTCATCTCCCCCCTCTGATTCTTCAGGCCCTCTCGGAGCTGACGACGTTCCTGCGCGCCTTCGCGTTCGCGGCGCCCTCCGAGGCGGTGCGGCGCGAGGAGGCGTGGCGGCTGTGGGACCCGAACGGCAACGGCTACCTCTCGCTCGCCGAGGTCGACTTGGGCGTCAAGATGACGCTGCAGTCCTTCCTCAAGGACGCGGGCGCGGGGGAGGCGGTGTGGCGCCGCTTCCGGCCGTCCTTCATCCGCGCCTTCAACGACGCCAAGGACGCGGCGGCGGCCGCCTCGTCGCTGTCGGACGACTACGTGACCAAGGGCGAGTTCCGGCTGCTGCTGTCCTACCTCGGCTACTACGCGACGTGGTTCGAGGTGTTTGCGATGGTGGACGGATGCTCGGACGGCACCACGGCGACCGACGACCGCCGCATCTCGCGCGAGGAGTGGGAGGAGGGCATCGAGAAGGTGGTGGCGGCGGGGCTGTCGTGGGCGCCGTACGTGGCGCTGCGCTCGGCGACCTCGGCCAGCTTCGACGAGATGGACTCGAACGGCGGCGGCTACGTGCTGCTGATCGAGTTTTGCGCGTGGCTCAAGGCGGCCGAGGTGGAGGCGGCGACGCCCGCCGGCCTCGCCCTCGCCGCGGGCGGCGATGCCACCCGGTGATTACGTCTAGGGAGACTTACCGGCAGTGAGGGCTCTGCAGTCTGTGACTGCT